ACACACACACACACACACACACACACACACACACACACAAACAATCCCTCTCTTCCTTACCCTCACTCCCTTAGTCACTGCCTTCTACTCCCAGTCCCCCTAGCCTCTTCAATCTGCTTCTGAAGAGTAAAATGGGAAGAAGGAGTGCCCAAGGCCACAGCCTCAGGGGGAAATTATTTAAAATCTCTATTTACCAAATCTGCTATCAGAACCTTGTTGCCTCAAGTTTGTCGAGGTTTCTTTTTGTCCCACGTTCACATAATTCTCCCTCCCCCCATAGTTTTCAGGAACTACGATACTATATATCTGAGCTGTCAGCAGGCAACAATATTAATGATTGGAAAGAGAATTTCCTTTTTTTCTACTTGTGTTCCAGGCTGCTCTTCCTTGTGCTCTGCTGCTAATACTCCTCTCCATCAAAGAAATACATATGCATTGAATATCTTAGAGAAATTGACTTCTTTTGAGAAGAAATAGCCAATTAAAAAAAATGTGAACAGGCTTAAAAAAAAAAAAAGGAATGAGGTGAAGACTCAGTAGGGGTGCCAAAATGAAGAGGCCAGAGGGCAGGAGTTTCACCACTCTTGTTGACTAACAGTCTTTGTCTTGCTACAATCTTTTTCTTTCGGTGTTTTGCCATTCTATTTCCTGCAAATTTGTTCTCACTCAGTTTGAGGCCATAGCAGTTAAGTATCAGACTCTCCTCTCCCATCCTTCCCTCCTTTCTTAGTAATTCCACAAAGAACTGCTCTCCCTCTCCTTCAGGTCTAGAAGAGGTGATTGTCTTTCTCAGGCACAGACCAAGGTTCTAATGATCTATCCTTGGATCAGAAAACACTTAGGATTTCTGTTCTATCCCTTAGGGAACAGTCTTGATTCTTCTGTAGCTCCTTTGGTGAAGGGGATACATATAAATAGAATTTTTAGAAATTGAACTTTATTTTCCCTTGATTTAACTATCCTGCCAGGTATACTTGTAGTCTTTATAATGTTGCAGGGGGTCCTTATCCCAATTTCCACTCAAACTGTCAAGTCAGGTCCCCAGACTACAGATGGCAGCATTTTCCTTTTACAGTCTAGCGGTACTCCTGAGACTCCTGGGAGTCTTTCTTCTAATGCCAATGGGATTGCCATATTGGACCACAGATTTGTAGGTTACCTAATCCAACCCCCCTCTTTTACAGATGAGGAAACTGATACACATGAGGTTAAATGTCTTGCTTCAGAGTCACAGGGATAACAAATGTCAGAGGCAGGTTTTGAATCTACTTCCCCTGACTCCAAATGTCATTTTGATGCAGAGTAGAAATCTCCTCAGCCCTGTCTTCTGCCATGGATTTGGCAGAGGCAACCATAGATGGATTGCAACCTGCACCATTGGAAGGAACATCCCCATGGATGAAATCACAGATCAATTTGGGTATTTTGGGAACTTGACCTCGATCAGCTTGTTCAAAATCTGGCGAAATTCTCCAAGAAACTCCCCATGTTATTTTCGTGTGGTTTTTTCAACACAATTCTACATTAACACTAAATTTTTAAAGGGAAAATATGTCAAATAATTATGCAACAAACTAAAATCATATTGTGCTGCTTTAATCCCTAGTTTGTAAACTGAAGTACAGTGACCTTTGTCTTCTATATAATCCCTAGCTTGTAAATTCAATGACAGCGACCTTTGTCTTCTATATCTTTCTGTGTCCTCCAATCTGTAGCTCGTACCACACTTGTTAAATGCTTGTTAAATGAGAGGACGAATGAATCCTGTACTGCGGAGTAAACCAAGCTCTTGTAAGTTGATTAACCAGCACTTTTCTAGGTAGTGAGCAAAAGATGCCGTCCCAGGCTGCGATGCACCCCAAAGAGCTTGCTTCTTAGTTTCAGCTGCAGACCTACCTGTACAGTTTTGTGGGCCAGCCCTCAGCGTGGACCGCCAGGAGCCAGTCGCCAATCGGAGTCCTGCAAGCCCGCCCGGGCCTTCTGCAGAAAACAAAGCGACCAGTCAGCACCGACCTTAGCTTCAACCCTGCCAATGAAATGAAGAGTTGTACGGAAGTCCGGAGATGAGCAGGCTTCCACTTCAAAAGTAGACTTGTAATTGATTATTTGGTTGTTGTTTTTCTGCACCGTCATCCGGAAATTCACGACTTGATCTGCACTGAGCAAACCCAGGACTGAACCTCTCCCAGGACGGAGCCATCCAGTTCCTGCTCACAGCTGCTCAGCCCGGAGCCACATGGTTTCCTTCTGGGTCTTGTAGGGGGTTTCTCTTAATCTTCAAGTTGACCGTGCTTTTTGTTTTTTCCTTCTGACTTTATGTTGCGTTTACCTTTTACAATATTAAGGAATCTTAAGAATGTCTCCGCCCCTTCTCCTACTAAGAATGTCTCTGTCCCTTCTCCTACCCAATTCCCCCCTCTCCTAGAACCTTGTGTCTCGGAGGAGCAATGTTAAGGACTAAGGAAGGGGGCAGGGGGAAGTCTAAACAATCCTCTAAGCATGTAAAAAAAAAAGCCTCGAAGAGTAGAGGAACATAAAAAGAAAGTGTAGACTCTCATTTTCTTTATTTTTTTTTTAATATAACAGGGAAACCAAGTACATTTCTCATGATTGCTTTTTAAAAATTCAGTCCTGCCCAGGTCTCAAATGAATTGCTTTCTTTACAGGTGTTTTGGTGCCAATAGCTTTTTTTTTTATACAAACCAGAAAATCCAGCAAACAAAACCACACAGACTTATTTACCAGAATTTATTTTCTTGCCGAATTTGGAAAAAGAAAGTAATAGTCGTGTTAAAATGGGAGATTGAACCTGTAATTTCATTGCTATTGAGACTCTTAGAGGAGGGAATTTCCTCTACCCATGCTGGTCAGCAACCTTCTCTACTTTAAGTAAGACCTGCCCGGAGTCAGATAGCCAGCATGAATTTGACACAAGTTTTGAATCCCGATTTTTGAGACTCCAAGGCTAGATGTCTTTCTAGTGCCCAAGTATGCCTCTCTTAAGGAGTGATATTAAAGAATATTGCCTTTTAAGTTATGTCTATAATTTGTATTTTTTCCTCTTAAACTTGACTCTATCTTCTTAACATTGTTTTATAGCTGCTGTCTATGCTAAGGTATTTCTTTACATTCTCTTGTCTGTGTTTAATTTACTCATTTGTATATTGGGAGAAAAGCAGTTTTAGGAAAGACTGGCTGAAATCAAATCAAAGGTTTGTTAGAATACATTTAATCATTCAAAAATCTATCTAAAATCCAAAATTTAAGGTTTTGTTAGAATGAAGTTCTAACTTGTGATATATAACAGAAAGCAGTAAATCTAGGTCAGATAGTTTTGTGTTACAGTGTTAAAATTGTCTTGGTTCATAGAGCCCTGTACAGCATGACTTAGTCGTGACTGTGCTAGTTTTATTCTAGTAGTGAAGTATAAAATTCAAATGTTAGTTACTAGCTAGTTGTTAGTAAAAGAAAGGCAAACAAATTTAGATCTAAAGTTTTTGTGTGTGCAAAAATCTTAGAAAAGGTTGATGTATAAACCATTGCAGGCTTTTCCTCTATTATGTATTTCCTCTGTTCTGGTAGATTAAAGAGCTGTCAGAAAACAGGTAGATTAAAGGGAAAAGAGACAAAATTTTGCTGTGGTTGCCCTAGTCTTCTTCTTCTTCTTCTTCTTTTTTTTTGTGGGAGTCAGGGAAGAGATAGGAGTATAGAATCTAAAATGTTAATTTTCTCTTTTTAATTTTGAAATATTGTTGGTAAGTTGATATTTCATTTTCAGTTATTAATATTGACCTCTCATCCTAAAATAATGAGTTTAGTAAGTTCAAAAACATTTTTAAAAATAAGAACAGTTTATCTGGAGTCCACTGAGGACTTTCAACTTTAAGGTTTATTTCAATAATTTTCATTAGTAAGTTAAATTTTGTGCACAACTTTTGTGTTTTATTAATGTTGCTCTCACTAGACACAGCAAAAAAACAAAAACAGGAAATTTTGGAAAATGAGTGATTTTTAAAATTTATCATTCATTTACAGGGTGTAGTGTGTGTACATGTGTGTGTGTGTATTTGTACACATATACATACATACATACATACATACATATATATATATAAAACATACAAAGAGGCACCTACACCATGTTCTGACTTGCCTACTAATTTTCCAATCTAATGAGCTAGGATGGATAAATACTGTATTCTCTTAGTAAGATAAAGCATTTATTATTACTTATTTTAAACAAACAGTTTATATTTGGGGATGGGGTGTGAAATGAGCAGATTGTCATATTTGCCCTCAGATGTAGCTAATAAAAGTAACTGACATATAGTACAAATAAAGTTTGCGAAGCACTAACAGTATTTCATTTTCTCCTCACAGCAATTCCGTGATATAGATACTACAAGTATTATTATCTCTATTTTACAGATGAAGAAACTGAGACTGAGAGAAGTTAAGTCACTTGTCCAGGGTCTCACAGCTAGTAAGTATTTGAAGCAAGATTCAAACCCACTTCTTTGTGACTTCCAGTTTAGTGCCATATTGTTATAAACTGAACATAAGTAAGGCTGAAACTTATGTCACTTGGCCTAGTAAAGAGTGGACATTTCATTATTTTTCCTTCTATTAACCTGTAAAGCTAATGGTGGTAGAGGGTAATAGCTTCAGTTAAGCTCAGTAGTTGTGGATCATCAATCTTTGGCCTTTTAATTTGAAGAATATACAATTTAACCTGAATCAGGAAAGTCAGGAAAAGGTGATGTAAGAACTAAATTTAATGAAGCTAATGCAATATTAGGCTAGATTAAGGGAGGCATTGTGACTGGAATGAGGGAGGTGGTAGAACAAGTTTTGGGAGCTTATGTTTTAGGAAGGACCTAGATAAGTTGATGTGCTTTCAGAGGAGGGTGACTAAGTCAGTGAAAGGACTGGAGTGAGTTCTTGAAAGAACAGGAGGTATTTAGCTTTGAGAAAAGACTGAGGGTGACCTGAGAGCTCACTTAAAGGATTTAGGGCTTCTTATGTGGAAGAGAGAGAGGGCACTTGTTCTACCTGGCCTAAAGAGTAGATTGAGCAGCAAGGGGTGGAAACTGTAGATACAGATTTAGGCTAAATATAAGGGGAAATGTCCAATTAGGGATGCTTAAAAGTAGAATCCACCACGTCTGAGAGGTAATTGATTTCCCCATCACTGATGGTCTTCAAGTAGAACCCAAATGGCCATTTCTTGGAATGTTATAAAGGGGATTTCTGGATTTCTATTCATGTGCAAAGTGGACCTAAGGACCTACCGAGTCCCTTGAGACTCAGATTTTAGGATTCTGAGCAGTTTTAGATATGAGAGGACACAAAGAATGACACCTGGGGAATGGTGCATATGGGAGACCAAGAAATCTATCAGTAATGGCAACCAATTCCAGGGTCTCTAAAATTTAGTAGTTGTTATTTTCTTATGCCATCAGGACATTTTACCCAGTTTCAAGAGGTCATAGGCTTCCTCTTTACTATCATTTAATTGGACCTGATATAAGTCAGTAAACCCATAGGTTTATTATCTCTGCTTGTTCCTTTTTTTTTTTTTGATGAGGCAATTGGGGTTAAGTGACTTGCCCAGAGTCACACAGCTAGTGAATATTATGTGTCTGAGGCCAGATTTGAACTCAGGTGCTCCTGACTCCAGGGCTGATGCGCTATCCACTGTGCCACCTAGCTGCCCCCTGTCTGCTTGTTGTTCTTAAGGATAGACTACTATTAAGATGACAATGATAATGGACTATGTAAATGCGTGGATATATTTATGAAATAATTTTCCATGAAACATATATGAAGAGAATTTGGAATATTGTAAAAGAGAGAATTTAATGTTCATTAGGTGTTTTGTGTGAAGTTGCTTAAGGTCAGATAAGGCTGCAACCAAAAAAACTGGTATTTCTTTTATTTGTATCCTGTTCAGAGAGGAAAGTGTATAGGTGGCATGACTGTACTACTCCATAATGAATTTATTTTGGTAGATTCCCATAGACTCTGTGGCTCAAAATGAGGCAGCAGTTTGCTCCTCAATGTTTGGTTAGCATTTTATTCTGGAAAGAAAGTAATTTTAGATGTTCAATTTGAACCAATCACTAGTCACGAAGTAGGAGTGACATTGTTTCTTTATATATTGGTTTGATAGTGATGAATAGTGTTACAGGGTGGGAATATATCATGAAGCCAAGACTTTCTCAGTTTCATTCTTGCCTGGAAGGACAAGGAATAACAGATGGCCCCCTTTCTCATTCTTATCTAAAGTTCTCTAAGAAGAACTAATTTCCACTTTTTCCTCTTTTTACAGAGGGAATGTCAAGCATCCTGTGGACCACAACACTGAAGAAAATATAGAAGTTGCTAAGGTGATAACGCTTGAATGTGTTTTGCACTTGGAAAGATGATTATAGATTGGTAGGGGGAAGGTAGCAAGGAGTTGGATAAATGCTCTCAAATGCAAATTATGTTCAGTCTTTCAGGGAAATGTGTTAGATTGGTTCTCAGAAGTGTAGTTTAATGACCTATCCTTTTCTGTGCCTAGTATTCTTGTATTGAACAGTCAGAGCATTCTTACTTCTGGTCATTTGGATTCATGCTATTAGACTAAAATTTGGTTATAGGGGTAGTAGAAGACAATAGAAAAAATATTTTTCTAGGCCTTGATTTATGAGTAAAAAGAAACTTCTATCAGTTATTGATTATATTTGTCAGGAGGTAATGTTACTTCTATGTTACAGACACAGCCCAGGATTAGAGAAAGACTATAGGATGTTATGTTAGAAGGATGTGATGGACCACCGGAAGTCTTAGCCAAGTTCAGCCAGATGCTCTGGTGTTTGTTTTGTTTGTATCACCAAAGATATTCTGGAATTTCTGGCTATGAGTCTAGGGACATTGTTTTATTCCAGATGACACATGGGCATCTTACTTCCCTACAGGCACAGTTAAAACCTAATTTATTAGTTCATGCTCTGGGAAAGAAATTTAAAGTTATCATTGTAATGAAGGTGCTATAGATTGCCAAAGAGTCATGCCAGAGCATCTACAGAAGCCTTTCTGGCTCTTTCCCCCTTTGGCTCGGCACTGTCTCCTGTGCCCCTGAGAGGGGAAGTGGTGTATGTACTACAGTTCATTAATTACATGGCGCTGAGAAAGAAACATATAGCACATGTTTCCACCTTTTCAGACACACCTCTCATTTGGGGCAGTTGGGCCCCTGGAACTTTATAGCTTTGTGACTTTCCATAAAATAATTATGGCTACACCAATGATAATGTTAGGCTGTAGTATTGTAACCTTCATTTTTATTGATATGACACTTTGTATGCAGAAAGGCCAAAATTATTACCGACCATGAAAGCCTTTGGAGGAAAAGGAATCATGAAATGGTTTTAAGGAACAACCTAAGTTAATGATTTAAGATAAGTGGTAAAGGTAATACTTAAAGTAAAGCCTGTGTTAGATGCTGTGAAACTGAGCATTATGACATCCTGCCCTTTTTAAGTGGTTCTAAGAATTTTTCATTGCTGGCAGAGGTATTTTTCTTCAGCCTTCTCTCATACTTAGCTTGGTATGACATATGTGGTTATGGGCCACATTTTCAAGTTTATAATAGGAACAGTTTGCAGTCCTCCTATGAGAGCCATCTCTAGGGAACTTGAATACATACACAAAGAGTGGCCTAGGTAGAAGCAGAAAACCAGTTTTCCTTGCTAGTAATCTGGCATCATAGTAAAATAAAAAAATAGGGTAATGATTGTTAATATTTCATTTTTCTGTTCATTAGCCAATTTTCGGGTAGAATTTATAACTAAATCCTGGATTAGAGCTCTAGGGAGGGGCAAGTGAAGTAAAGTGGAACAATCTAATTACACCTCTACCCTCCCCATCAACAGTATTGCACTTAATTAAGTAAAAGGAAACATGTATTACTGGGTCTAAAATTCCTTTCCTCTGATTCTTTTAGGTGTTCTGTTCAGATCTGCATACTATATCTCATCGAGGATACTTTTCCTAAGGAAAATTCTAAATGGATTCGGTCCTTGGTCCCTGAGGCATATTCCTTTGGACAGAAGAAATGACTAAACATAGATCACTATATAGAACTCTGAATTTTCTTCGCTTTAAGAGGAAGAGCTGGTTCTTTTTGAAATTTGGATTTCTTGTCTTTGCTCTGATTGTGTTTTGTGAATATATAATTTATTATTTAGTGATCTTTCAGTGTCGCTGGCCAGAAGTGAAAACTATAGCTTCTGGAAGCAAACAACAGACTCCTGCACCTGTGCTGAAAGTTATGTTTTTAGCTGATACCCACTTACTTGGGGAAATAAATGGACATTGGTTGGACAAATTACGACGGTAGGAACAAAAATTCAGAAACCCTTTTGAAATTCTATAGTTTTAAGGATGTAGCACTGCTGCATATCATCATCCCTCTCAACAATCTGGTCAAACATCTCTGGCTTTAGGGAACTCCTCAGCCTTCCTTCCAAAAGCTAGACATTAGGGATTAAAGATACATCCTTGCCAGTCCACAAATACACTAATTATTCCATGGGTTCAAGTTTCTGGTGAGTTGAATGGCAGGAAACAAGCAGAACCATTCCTGAGGGTCCTCCATCATGATCTATCTGTTTCCTTGTATCCTAAGTATGCTTTCATTTTGCTCTCAGTCGGGTAAAAGATGGATCTGAAGAGAGCCGCTGCTGGAAGTCTCCAAATTCACATTAGGGACAGGACTAGAGGAAGCTTCTCAGACACATCTGTCTGTTAGTACTTTTTCTGGGGGGTGGTGGTGTGAGAGGATGAGGTTTAGGAGGAGGCCTCAATTTTAATGCAGCAGATATGGTTTTTTTCCTTTCCATTATCTGTACTTTTTGCCAGAACCAGATCTGCTAGTCCTGTACCACATGGAGACTATTACCTTTTTCTTCTATTTTATCCTGAATCTTTCCTTATGTTTTCCCCACTCACAATGGATTTACTTTGTGGTTGAAACCTCCTGTTGGGTGGAGAGTATATTTGAGGAAAGGGAAGGTAAAAAGGAAGATGAGAGTAAAAAGAGGTGATGGAACTGAACAGTCCCCAAAGTGGAATGTGTTAGGGTAGGGCCAGAGTGAGTGACACTTTATTTCTTTTTGGACAATGTAATTTTACTTTCTGCTTTACTAATTACCAACCCCCTCACCCAATACTTCTTGGAAGTCTTCCTTTTGCTGATGCTGCTTCTCTGTCCTTTTTTCCTTGGGTGTGGAAGACCTGAAGCCAAGAAATACTAAAAAACCATCAGCTTTGAGAGGCAACCACGACTGATGTAAAAATGCACGGCTGGCTATGTGTGGTAGCTAGGAAGAGCAATGAGCTGCCCGTGCTGTGACTTAAAGGGCCAAAATGCCCTGTCCAAAAGAATTTATCTTTCTGGCATACCATGGGATCTGAATTTGCACCTTAGTGTTGCAAAACAGGTTAGGCATATAAGAGCACTCCTTAGAATTAGGGGATCTTAGGGAGACTACAGAGGAGTTCAAGAGATATGAAAAATAATGTTGGTCAGGTCCTTCGAGAGACAGTGAAACCTTATACCCTGAGTGCTTTTTTTATGTATCTGACATCTGGAGGATTTCGTTTCTTGCTAATTTCTTTCTTCTACCATCTCCTCATTATTTTTGTCCAGTTAGATCAAAGGAAGGCCTCTTCAGTGAGAACAGATTTTGATAGAGACTAGGTGATAACAATCTAAAATAGGCATCCTCTGAAGCTGAATTAACTTCCATCAGGTGACTAGGGTACTACTCAGTAAGTTTTGCTTCAGTGGACAGTGTGGTATGTGAACACCGCAGAGAGGTCAGGACTTAGCGTGAAGAGGTTGTGGCAGTTAAGAACTTCTTATGGTGCTTTTCATTCTCTCCCTAGTTCTGATACGATGCATCAGATTCTCAGCCTTTTCCCTCTTCATCCTTCTGAAGTTGGAAGGAGTTGATGGGGAGGGTAGAAGTGTAATTAAGATTGTTCCAATTTACTTCCCTTGCCCCTCCCTAGAGCTCTAATCCAGGATTTAGTTATAAATTCTACCTGAAAATAGTTAATGATTTTTCCTCTCTCAAAGGGAGTGGCAAATGGAAAGGGCCTTTCAAACAGCCCTATGGTTACTACAGCCAGAGATTGCCTTCATTCTGGGGGATGTCTTTGATGAAGGCAAGTGGAGTTCCCCTAAGGTAAGACATACAGCTCTACTTTTTGTTGTTAAATAATATATGAAATGGGAAAGGATATCTTGAAGATTCTTAGGACTTGGATTTAATGCTAATCTGCTTGGGTGGGACTAGTTAGTCCTGTATTAACCCTATTGGTTTTTAAATTTGGGGTGTATGAGTTACCTGCACTTTACATAACTTCTATGTAATGTATACATTTAAACCTCAGGAGACAGAGTTCCTCAAGATAAATGTCACTACCACTAGGATGAGGCTGTCAGTGCACATGGTGAAATGTACATTATCTTTTAGACTATTTTACATAACCAATTAATCAAATAAACTGTACTTATAAAAGTAGCTTCCCTAGTCTTATCTCCTGTTAATCTTTCATTTTTCTACATCGGAAGGAAAAAACAGGAAAGATTTGGGGTTCCTTTAATCACTCCATAGGATCCTTCCCTCAAGAAAAATCTACATCAGGACCAGAGTAACTTAGAGCTTTTCACATACTGGGTCTGACTGTTCTCACACTGGGCACGAGAATATTTTGCTAACAACTTTTTGTACTAAATGTTAAAATGATTCCTGCACCTTGGTTAAAGAGAAGCATTGTGCACCAATGGTCCCATTTTCACCTCACCTCACCCTTCACCAAGTAAATTTTACAAGTGCCCTGGTATTTTTGGCTGAGCAGCAAGGAGCTGACTAGTAGCTTATTGTAATGTGTTGGAGGAACTTTCAAATTCACATTGTGCCCCTTTAATTCTCCCTAAGCAATTTAACTATATTTTAGAAAGATCAGTTGTAAAAGGAGGTAAGGGATGTGTGCTAATGCACATATAGCTGCTGCCTTCTTAGCTTCAGGGAATTCTTACAAAACATACTTTGACAAAGTGAGTTTAAAAAAAAACAGTTAAGAATCATCTCATTTGAAAATCATCACAAGAATCAGCTTTATTTTCCTATAGTGGGTCACCTTCAAATGAGGTTACCAGTCAGCTTGGCAGTATATCATTTTTTGCTAAGAAGTTTGTCCAGATTCATTTTTTGCTTAGACTCAGAAAAATAAAAAAGAACTTCTCTATACACTTCTCAAAACTCCTATAGGATTCAGTATTCAGACAGTATTAAAATGGTCTTGAAATGATTTTCATTTGCCCCTCAATCTTCAATCTCCATTTCACTTCTGACTTCTCTTGGTTCTCCTTTCCACAACTACACACAAAAGGAATTCTGATGCTTTATGGAAAAAGATGTACTATTTATTCTGGCCCAGTCATGGAGGGAGAAATCATTGACCATCTTCCAAGAGCTTGTTCTTCACAAGGCATTTACATCATTAATGTTTTATGAGATACCTTTCAGAATTAAACCCTTTTTTGGGGGGCAGGGGAACTGCTAGTTAATATTTTAAAAAATGCCACAAAGGAACACCTTTTCATTAATAATCAGTGACTGACTAAATAGGCTGTTAATCAAGAATTTTAGAAAGAAGTACATTAGAAAAAGTCAATCTCTGGGGCTCTGAGTTTTAAACTAGACTGCTTTGGGACATGTTTGTCCTCTCGTAGCAGGATCATATTTCTTAGCCTAAATGCAAATTAGTAGGTCTTTTTACTTTTCCCATCAGGCTTGGGCTGCTGATGTGGAAAGGTTCCGGAGAGTATTCCGACATCCACCTCACACACAACTCATAGTGGTTGCTGGCAACCATGATATTGGCTTTCATTATGAGTAAGTACTCATGGTACTGGTGTGCCATGACGGGCAGGAAATTTGAGAGGGTAATGTGTAACTATTGTGTAAAAAGCCTCATTTGTGCTACATACAAAATGTTCTACTTTTTTTTTTAAAGGAAGAAATAAGGAGGTTATGCATTCTGGTTAATATTATTTCAAAAGTACATTTAATAACAATGCAATTTTCCCTGGGATGAAATGAAATAATTTAGATGAAAATACTTTGAAAAGCACAAAATAGAAGCCTTGTGATGCTGTGATTCTTACTGTACAATCCTGGTCAGACTATATCTGTAGTATTGTGTTGAGAGGAGGGTGACCATGATAGTGTTAAAGACCCGAAGACCACACCACATGAGGAATAAATGACGGAAATGAGAATGTTTACTCTGTAGAAGACAGGATTTAGGGAGAACCAAATACAACTCAAGTACTTATAGGGTTTTCCTATAGAAGATAGATTAGACTTTTTTTTTTTTTTTGCTTGAACACAAAAGGCAGAACTGGAAATATTGTTGCAAACATATTCCTTCTGCTCCATGCAATTTTTTTTTTTGTTTCAAATAAGTATAACTGCTAAGAAATAGAATAGTTGACTTGGATGTCTTCAAAGGGAGTCTGGCTTGATGTTCACTTGCTTTTGTTGTTGTATTGGGGATTTGTTCTAAGATATGGATGGGGATTGGGCTAGGGAGCCTCTGAGGTCCTTTCTGCCTCCAAAATCCTATAGAAATGTAATCTGTCAGTGTCCTATAGCATTGAGCTTTTACAATGTTTTACAATGTTTATGGCTCCTGATAAAATGTACCTTTTTTCTCCCCTAAACAACTGAATACAGGATGAACACTTATAAACTACAACGATTTAAGAAGGTTTTTGATTTTGGGGAACTTTTTTCTATAAAAGGGATTAAGTAAGTATTGCGCTATAAATACTTATCAAGTTCTTTATTTTCTATAAACTCAATTTTCCTTGTAAGACTTGGTATGTTTAGTGCCTAGCACAATACAGCTACGTAAGGGCTTAGTAAATGTTGCCTGATACTGGGTCAGATCTGTAGGTAATCCAGCCCAATTTTGTCTCTGGTGGGAAGGATCGTGACTCTTGAGGAACTATTTACTATGTACAGTAACATTTTCTCTATTTGTTTGTAATTTATCTCCTTATTTCGAGAGATATTTCACTAGGTCTAGTATTCTGGGACTTGGTGACCAATTCTTCATGCCCTTAATGACTTTCTACATTTGGATCACATTCCCTTTGAGAAGCAGCTAGGTGGTGCAGAAAGAATGCTCAGATTCAGGAAGACCTGAATTCAGATCTCATCTCAGACACTTAATTGGTTGTGTGATCCTGGGCAAATTACTTGATCTCTGTAAGTCTTAGTTTCCTCATCCATAAAATGGGGATAATAACACCCATCTTACAGGGTTTTTGTGAGGATTAAATGTGATAACATAAAGTGGTTTGTAAACCTTAAAGGACTGTATGTATGCTGTAATTATCATTAATAATAACAATGATATTTTATATCCACATATAGTGATTTTTCTTCTCCGTGATAGTTTTATTGTACTTTTCTGGACCTTTCTGAGCTCCATTATATTTTTTGAGGTGCACTGAACAAAAGTGCATGTAGTATTCTAAATGTAGATACATCATAGTTTTCTACAATTATAATAAAAAGTTTTCTATTTTAATGTCCCTTCATTGTCCCCAGAAATTTGTTAGGTTTTTATCATATTTTTGCTGCAGTAGCACATTGGGGCCTGAAACTATGGAATAGTCAACAGTGACCCCCAGGTCCTTTTTCTTAGTCAAAATAGACAGTTTATAACCCATCATCTATTAATTATGATTTGGGTTATTCCTCTCCCCTCTGCCCCCAATGACTTGGTGAGACTTCTTGTTAAATAGTCATCACTTCTCAAATACTGTCAGGGTATAAGCCAGCTCTTTACTACTAACATGTGGACTTTTTGTTTGTTGTTCTTCAGTTGTTTTTCAGTTGTGTCCAGCTTTTTGTTAACCCTTTGGGGGTTTTATTGGCAAAGATACTAGAGTAGTTTGCCATTCCTTCTCCAGCTCATTTTACAGTTGAGGAAACTGAGGCAAATAGGGCGAAGTGACTTGCCCAGGGTCACACAGCTATTACATGTCTGAGATCACATTTGAATTTAGGTCTTCATGCCTTCAGGCCTGGAGCTCTATCCACTGAGCCATCTAGACTCTCTGCAGAGTAGTTTTAATTTTAAGCTTTTTCCTCCTCACTGTCCAGTGTGCATCTAGGCCTTCTCTCACTGCTCAGTTGTTGTATGATTAGGGAACTCAGGCAAATTTTAACATTAGCCTAAGAAAAATCCTAATCAGGAAGGCAAATCTGTTACAAAATTGTACATGTCTAATTCATTTTTAAATTATCCATTGTTTCACTAGTCTTCTATGTTAGTATGCAAAGTTGAACATGGACTGTATTTTACCTCAGATAATAGCTTAAGATAGTAAAATAAATTCCTAGATGTCTGAATTTTAATAAATGATCAGAAGCATATGAAAAAGATTAATTCTATTCAGTATTAACAATCTATTTGTTATGGTAGCTGACAAAAAGTCACTTCTTTCCTTCATTGTTTAGGTCAAAACAAGAACTCCATATCATGACTGCTACAACTACTTTGTCAGCTCTTGAGAATAGACCTTCATTTGTCCTGAGGAGAAAGCATTTAATAATACGAGGGTCAAACTCCATTATAGTAAACTTGTAGGAATTATTACAAATCTTTTATATTGAGATTTCATTGTAATTATAAGTGGGATAATTCAGTCACTTGCTGGGGCTTAAAAATCTTTCCAATGGGAAGATTTTGATTCATAATGCTATCCTTAATGGTGCTTAATGTGTAACTGTAGGTGGACATGTTGCATTCCCAATAAGCTCCTCGAGGTCAGGGACTGGATATTTTTTATATTTGAATTCTCAGTGTCTAGCAGAGTATCCAGCACATAGCAAGTCCTTAATAAATGCTTGTTGATATGATAGATCCAGGGCATTGTAAGCTCAAAGAGAATATTTTCATGTAGTTGATAGTTCCTTTGTTGAGCAGCCACTAAAATATGAACTGAATTTTGTTTTATTTTATTTTTATTTTATTAATTTCTTATTATATTTTATTGATATTTATAGTCAATTATCTAGCTAGGGTTTGATCTTCCATGTCTTCTGTCTTTTGAATTTCTAATGCTTCCTGGAAGGGATTCTTTTTCAAACTGGCAAATAAAGGAAAGAAAAGGTTAAAAAAAACACCCCAAAACATTTTCAAAAGGCTGTGCATTGTGGAAAGTATACTGAGTGGACAGTCAGAGGACCTGGGGTCAAATGTTGTCCCTGATGCTTCCTACTTTTGTGACCTTGGGCAAGTTACTTTACCTTCCTGGGCCTCAGTTTCTTAAGTTGTAAAATGAGAGCTTGACTTAGATGGTCTCTGAGATCCTTTCTAGCTCCAAATCTCTCCTCTAGTACTATACAACAAAGTATATATGATACTAACAGAGAAAGAAAAGAAACCGTTTTGCCCTGGCAGGAATCAACATCATTTCTAATTAACCTTTTTCTCAGTGAAAGAACATTACTTGTTCTTTTGCTAGCATAAATAATCCTCTTTTCTGCCCTAATAAAACATCTTTCACATTTATTATACTTTTTTGAGTTCTGTGTTTGCTATTTCTTTGTGAAAATTCTGCAAGTGGTGGGTTTTTCAAAAAAAGTAGTAGAATTTTGGGGAAAATGAAAATATTGTTTCCTTCTTAACCATTTTAGTTTTGTGATGGTGAACAGTGTGGCAATGGAGGGAGATGGCTGCACTATTTGCTCTTCAATGGAAGCCCAACTCATTAAACTATCTCACCTACTGAATTGCTCCAGACAGGTAAGGATCAATGACAATATCATAGTAATCCTATGTATCCCTCCTCATTGATGTAGCTTTTTCTCCATACTAAACACAGTAGACTTGTTCTTCTTAACCACAACATTGCCTGGCCATTAGCATTATTATTATTATTATTATTTTTTTTTTTAACCATTAGGAGAAGTACCATTCCAACCCAAATTGTAGTGGTATTCAACAGCTTTCAGCATCAGCTCCTATCCTTCTCCAGGTAAGAAGAATGGGACAGCCTGGCATTTCTTTCTGTGTGTGTATCAACTGTGAAAAGGTTCCTTGAGCTCAGATCTGGCTCTTTAATTTTCGGACAGCATTATCCTCTGTACCGGAGAAGTGATGCTGACTGCACTGGGGAAGATTCTGCTCCTCCAGAGAAAAAGAATCTCTTATTTGAAGAGAGATATGATGTACTTTCTAAAGAGGCTTCCCAAAAGGTTTGATAACGTACTCTAGTGGTATTCAGCATCACACAAACTTTGTTATGTTTCTTTTTTTTTTTTTAACAAGCAGTATATCTTCTTGGTATTAAGTAGATTTTAGTGGAGGACAGCTTTTTTTGCAGACTGAAAGGTAGACTTCTGGCAATTTGTCAGATTTTTAGTTCATCACAGTAACCCATCTTTTCCATAATGGAACTGATTAAATTGATATAGTATTAATATTAAATCATACATATTACTCAATCTTCTTATAAAGCCTTTGCAGTACTTAAGTTCCTCTTAGCATATCTGAAAAGAATTTTCCAAAAATGAATATGTTTTTGTCCCCAGAAATATGTGACCAGAGCCAGAGGCCTAGATTTTCTCTAATGGACACTAAAGAATATAATGCATGTATGAAATCTTTTCCTATGAAATAAAGACTTATTTCATTTAATGACATTTTATAGCAAAATTCCATAGTGCCAATGAATTAAAACTGAAACTATCCCATCCTGAGGTTGCTGTATCAATATTCTGAACACTAGGTAATGTTTTGTTTTCTCCTTAATATAGCTTCTGTGGTGGTTTCAACCTCGCTTGATTCTGAGTGGTCATACTCACAGTGCCTGTGAAGTGCTACATGATGGAAAAATCCCTGAAATCAGTGTTCCATCTTTCAGTTGGAGAAACAGAAACAACCCTAGTTTCATTATGGTAAAGTTAAAGTTTATTTTTTGTCTGATAGCTTTCATAAATATTTAAATCAACATGGGTAATCAACTATTTAACTGTTGCTACCTGTAAAAAATATACAAAAACCATGAATTCCCCCAGCACACTTGATTTAGTACATTGCACCCACTTTATAAGCTTATCTCTGGGAGCCAAACCAGTTGACATCATTCAGAGGGTAACTTCAGTTAAGTTGAATTTCTTTTTATGTGGGGAGTAAGTAGAGGGAGTCTTTAGCAAAGTGGCATGATTATCTTTTGAAGAGGGTGCAGTGTAATTTTTTTTTAAAGATGCATTGAGAACAGCAGAAAGACCATTTTGCCTGGTTGATTTCATCCAGTGGAAAAAAGGATAATTTCTCCATCACTTACTCCTGGCCATCTCATCCACTTGCTTTCCAAATTGGTGCATTTGCCACTGCCGAGGATGTGAAGGGCTGTCGCTTTTCCGTGTTGACATGTATGCTACTGCCCAGGGCTTAACATTAATGGCCACCTGAAATTGAGCTTCTCACATCAAGGTTGTGTTCCAGCAGCCAGTTCCAATGCACAATATACATCGTTTATAATATTTGCACTTAATAGTGATATGGGGAATGTCCTGTTTCCAAGTTCAAAGTACACAAACTTAAAAAAAAAGGTGTTTGTTGTTTAGCAAAAATGCCTATAAGGAAAATGTCTTTGATTACCCCAGAACATGTATTTCTAAGTAAACAGATTTATTTTAGTGTCTTGTGGCATGAAAAAACAAAACCTTCTTACTCACTCTCTCAGTGATGCTCTTTGGTCTCAGCTCTCTAGTCCAAGTTTTCCATGTACCTCTCTGAATTCCTGGTGTGCCCTCTTTAATTTTTTTTTTAATTGAAGTTTAGCATGTTAGGAAGTTGTCTGAATATCTCAGTATCCACTTGGGTGCTCCTCTGTCCTTAATTGCCCTTTCCTGGCTAGTACCAGGGGGTACCTTGTACAAGACAAAAGACAGTGCTCATCACCTCCGGCTAACTTTGTCTCTCTTTAGGGAAATGCCTTTGGTGCACTGCTGTGGTGATGAGCCTATTCTCTGCTCAGGATAGAAGCTGTCAAGAAATAACCCAAGTAGTCTGCTAACTCTACTGTTCTTCCTAAATTAGAACAGTTGTATTAAGATTACTTTATCTTGTGTTCTAACAACTGCATTACTGTTTCTTTTCTTTTCTTTTCTTTTTTTTTAGGGCAGCATAACATCAGTAGATTATTCCCTCTCCAAATGTTTCCTTCCACTTGAGCATACAGTGCTGACTATTTACTGCACAGCAGGTATTTTGGTGGCTTTGTTAATATTAACTCACTGTCAGCCTGTGTAACACCACCGTTTCTTTTCATCTCATTTCATTCGGTTGATACGTAATCAGAAAGCATAAGGCAATGTGAAGAGCAGGACATTTCTGCATTTAGTAACAAATACCAAAGCGGAAAACAACTGAACTTCAGGCTGTATTCATATCAGAGAATGACCTAACTGGACGAGTCCAAATGCAGGTCATCCATTTTTATGCACATCATAGAAATTCTAAACAATTGATATGAATTACTACAGGATAAATAGTTGATTGAAATGTTTCATGCTGTAAAAAAAAAAAAAAGTAACAAGTATCCTACAACAAATTGAACTGTTTTCTTGCTATGTAATTTTTATCAAATATATGTATACTCAGATAGTATCTGTACAACATGTAAGTCCTATTAGCCTCATAACTTGCATGCACTACAAACTCCTACCTTCCACGGATGGAACTTGCAACCCAGAAACACACTGGCAGTAGTGTATGTACATATCAGTGGGTGTGGCTTCTGTTCTAGTATGACATTTCCCTCAGATTCCTAAGTTTTATAAAGCTGTACATCTAGAAGGGGAAGCAGATTCTCCTTTAGATACTATGAGAGCAGGAAAATATTGTTTGTTTGATAGAATTCTACTTTTCTCTGCTGAAACAGGATTATTATTATTATTATTTAAATAGGTATAATTAGTTCTCTACTAGACAATCTTTAATCCCTTCTAGTGGTCAAAAAAGACATTCTGAAAACTGGAAAAAAATGGCCTATAAAAAGGTAAATTGATGTGTTTTTCATTTTGAGTCAGAAATAATTGTTTTTAAAGCAGCCTGGATTTTTCTTTTATTATCATTATAAACAGGCAATCTTGCACTATAATGTTCAAGGAATCTGTAAGAGAGGCAAATATTGTATATACATCACAGTATAGATGTTCATTTTATTTGGGAAATTACTCCCCTCTCCAGTTTTCCCATATTTTTGGTTTCTTGAAAGACATCTAGAATATAGCTGCATGTCCTCTCCCTTTCTTGGAAGTGTGAGGGGATTTGGATGTAGGTTTTGCTTTTTCATCTATCAATCTGACCAAATGATCTTATGAAACAGTAGGGTTAATATAATGCCGATGGGAGAAAACTCAGCAGGATGCAAGAGAGGCTGTTATATGTCATAAAATTAGTTTTAAATGAAGAAATAGGAGCATTTGCTGACATTTAATTTTAGGGCAAAGGAGAGCATTGGTTTTAAAAAATACGGTATAAAAATCTGATTTATGGGGTGAGTCTTAAAATTCTAAACAAAGGATGGAGACAGTCCAAGTATTGGTAAAGAAAATTGATGAAGTAATGTAGGCTAACACTTGTCTAGGTTTCTGTTATTGCAACTGTAATTTTCGACATTTGTACAGGTTATTTCAGACACAGGAAAAGTATATACTCACACAGACAAAACACCCGTGTATAAAATATAAAGCAGTGTTATAGTTACTAAAAAGGACATGCCTTATTGCTACAACAATTCTTGCTTTTTATATAATGTACTGTACCATAACTTGTTTTGAGAATGTCATTTGCATAAATTATTCAAGTTTGAGAAATATTCACACATTTTGATCCTACAATATTTAAAATAAAACATTTTCTAATGTGTCTCTTTATTAAAAGAGAAATAAAAATGTCATCTTGCAATTTTCTTAGGTCAGACATGGGTTTACACCTTTTTAAATATTCTGTTCTTGTATTTACTTGCACAGTAAAATCTGCTATTGTTACAAAGGTTTAAGAGCTTTACTCGAGGGTGCTCTACATATTCACAATCTGCCTGTGTGATTGTGAAAGTATCAATAACCAAAGTATTATGAAACATAGTCTAGAGAGGAAAAAACAAATTCTTGTTCCTCCCATCGAGAGACAACACCTGGTTGCAATTTGGACCCGAATGAATTCCATATTTCAAAGCTGAGTCTCCCAAAAGGAAAGGCATGTTGCTGCAACAGTTTCTCACTGGGTAAGACCTTATTCATAAAGGTATAAGTGGTTAATTTGCATAATTTATATAATTATTTTTACTAAAGTGTATTCCACTTTTTTTTAATATAAACCAGAAAACCCCTAAGTTCTACAGATAAAGTTCCTACCTCCAGTCATGGCTGCAGGTAAGGCTGACATCAAGCTGTACAGCGCAATCAAAAACATACTTACATCTTAGCTCAGTTTACAGGTACAGCCATAATCAAGGCACAAAGATCTTCTACAAGTATTTTCTTCAATAAAGTTGTACAAAATAATATTACATTTTACAGTCTGTACAATATAATAAACCAGCAGTAAAACAAAAAAAAATATAGAGAGAGGGAGGACTGGTGTCCAAGAATGACCTAAGCTAAAAGGATCATTTGTAGACAAAACAAAGAATGGTTTAGGGTAGGAAGGAGTAGATTTTCTGCCTTGATGCACTAGGCTAGAAGTAGCTTTTAATTCAGAAGTCTGAGGTGTGTAGGGACACTCTGCTATGAAACCCCAGAAGAATTACTTATCTTTCCTATGCCTCTCAGGCTCTACTCTATGACCTGTGCTGCTAAACGGCTTAAAAGAGGAGGCCACTTTATTAGTTAACCTGCAACTCAATGCTAAAAACTGTGATAGAATAATAAATATCATAGTGCTGCTACATTGTGTGTATGCTTTCTCAACAGTATTTAATAACCTGATACAAAGTGCATTATTCTTTTCACCTATCAAGTACTCTTCAGTGTCATGTTAAAAAAAAAAAAAGGACCCCTAACATGCAGAGGTTTGACTGTAGTGCCACCTGATATGAGTCACCAGTTTATGTTGACATAACCTACTGGAAAAATTGAGCAGGTTATGTTTGAAAATTAAAAAAAAAATCCTAGGGGAAAATGGAGGTAGCCAAAGGCTTAATGGAATGACAAAGGAGTGGCATACTGAAGGGAAACCTGGACCTAGTCCCAAACAAGCAGAAAGGATAAAAGAAAAACTCACTCTAAATGAACACTGGGGTGCGGGTGGGTAGGGCTAAATAACCAAAGTAAACAGACCCAGAGGCTAACAAGTACTCTAGAGTATATTCTTCCATCCTGTGTTGGGTAGGACAGAGAAATGAGAGAGAGAGCGAAAGAGAAAGGAGCAGATAATTGAAAACCACAGGCTCCATGGTGACCCTAATCACAAGAGTTCATACTGTTTAAGGTGCATCCTCTGAATGATGTCTCGACAGTCATTGAACACTCTGCGGATGTTCTCAGTGTCCACTGCACATGTAAAGTGAGGGTAGCAGTAATGCTTGCCATCGCCAGTTGCCGTGCTTATCCTCTGTAAAACAAGAGTTGCCATGTAAGACTGTGTTCTTCAGGCTTAGGCAATTCATGTTTGTCAGGGTCTGTACTCCCAACTGGGCTTTCCCCTGTGCTTTTGTTTCTTCAAAAGCAGATTAGTATGAAATCTATTTTTGGAAAATCCAATTTAGATAGAACTCTGGCCTTAGACTCTAGGCTGCTGTTTTTTAAGAGCACTGTTACCCCCAGAAGACTAAATAAAAGGAGAGGCATTGACCAGGTCACACCTGGTCAAGTCTCTCTCACAGTCAGTGCAATGGGTATTGAACTGCATTGAGGGAGGGAGCAAGCATAGAGAATCCTTTTTGTATTGGAAACATAATTGCTTCTTTGACACTCCTGTCCCAAGTTAATAGTGATGTTCACATTGGGCAACAAACAACTCACCCTGATTAAAACACTTTACAAAGTACTTTTTCCCTAATTAACCCTATGATGTATTAACATCGTCCTTTGATGGATGAGGAAACTGAAGTTCAAAAAAAAAAAACTGAGGGACTTACCCATGGTCAGAGAGCTAACAAGTACTGGAACCATGACTAAAAACAACTTTGCTGGCTGAATCTGATGCTCTTTCCATTACAATAGTCTGCTTATGTAGGCAAGTGTCAAATATTAATGATCACATAGCAATTATATAAAGAGTTTCAACCATTCAACGAGGATTTGTTAAGAGCCTTCTGTGTGCTCAGTATTGTGCTAGGTACCTTGAGGGATATAAAAGAATACACACACACACACACGCACACACACGTATATACGTGTCTATGTATATGTATAAGTATATGTGTGTATGTATATATATATATTCTTCCCTTAAAGTATTCATTCACAATCTATCTGGGAAGAGACATACACACAAGAAACAAGCAGGAGCAATGTATGTGAAAGTTTGAGGGGCCAGCTATAAAGAAATTGCAGGAGACAACCTCCCTAAGATATCATCTTGGAGACTTGCTGTTTATTATGATGAAATATAGACATTGATCATAATAATAGGTTGGGTAAAAATAATTTAACAATTATTAAATGCTTAAAATACCTCTTTCATTTTTTTTAAGTGCACATAGCATGATAGTATCTATAGGGAAAAAGAAAACCAATCATGCCTTTCCAGATTTTCATTTGTCTGAGGAGAGCTGTAGCATTATATCAAGAATATTTGCATGCATCTCCAACCATGCATCAAATTGCTGCTGACTAATTCTCCAAAAGTATAAGATGGGACATCATTTTCATATCTAGGCAGATAAAATAGAAAAATATAAACTGCAGGCTGACTGAAATTGCCGCCTGTTTCCTGAGCATCATTAATACCATTGAAATAGGCCTGTAGTTGTTTCCCAACTATGGTTAAAAAAAATTGAAAATCAAACTTAGGCCTGTGATCCATGCTGGAAACACACACACACAAACACACACAGCTCTAGAGTGCTAATGCTCTGAGAATAGTTTTTGACTGGTGATGCTTCATATTTTCATTTATGCAGAGATACAAAGGATAACCCTATTTCCAACTTGGGAGCAAATGGAATGGAAAAAAAGTAAGAAATTTATTTAATTTTTTCGATGTATGTTAGAAAAATAGCACCTGGTGTCAATCTATACTAGTAGAAAGAATCTTGATGTCTTAATTCCTTTTTTATAGAGGCAATGGAGTGTGGTGGAAAGAGTACCCAATATCAAGTTAAGCAACCTGAATTTGAATCCTGGCTGATTCTTACTAGCTGTTTATGACCCTTGGCAAATCACATAAGCCCTTGGAACTTCAGTTTCCAATATTTTTTCATGACAGCTAAGACCTTACCATTTTATATTTCTGCCAAATTTCTCAGAAATTTCATAGAGAGGACTGAATCACTGAATTCACCACTGTCTTCTCCTTAGCAACACTTCTCCATAGACCATGATAGTAAAACTAAAGCTCATAATCATAATTTATGTTTACAG